GGTTGAGAAGTTAGAGGGTTGACATGTTGTGGGGTTGTTAACCAATGTCATAAAACAATATGTGTACTACTGTTTCGTGAGAAACTATTTGTTCTGTAAGCCTTCACCTGAAAGTACAATAAAAATAAAAATAAAAAAATTAAAAAGTGAGCTGAACTTCCTTCTAAACAAAAGGGTGACAGGATGGGTTATGAAAACGGCAGTTTGTTTCCCTTTCCCAGGAAATTTGCAAGTACAGCAGTCCTATAAAATGGGTATGTATAAAAAGCTGCAGCTACATCTGGTACAGTTTAACTCTCAGTCTGATGGTGATGGTGACTGTCTTAGGAAAACTGAACCATTTATATGTCACAAAGTAGGGAAATTGAGACTGACGATCTTTTTTAATGTCATTCTTTCTTTTCCTGTACGTCTTGGGACCTTGTTTTTAGGATGTTTGTTTTAGGCCTTGATAAAGTCATTTAAGTCAGGCCACTCATAAAACCCTCTTTTTGGAACAGATATATGCATGCTATATGTAATGCTTTCTTACTCTATGTTAGATAACAAGAGTTGGCAGTGTGTAATTTACTCATTACATTGCCAGAGCTATTTTTATGATCTATAAATCCACCTAATACTACAGACAGCCTGGAAAGACTTTCAGGACATCTCCCCATCGGCACTTCTCAGATGTGACCCCCAACTTTAACTCCAGTGGCAGATGAGAGAGAACACACACTAGAAGATTAGGGTGAATTCTGGAGCAAATACAGACCATTGCTTGGTTTATGAACTCATGAAACAGCTTTGGTCCCTGGAATTCTATATTCGGTAGAATTATGCTATACTAAAATATAGTACGTTTTCCCAAAGTAAATAGAACAGGTCATCAGATGGTTTCATTTCATCTCGTTAACACCAGTAAAGTTTATGAATATCTTTCAACAAACAGCAAAGCATTGAGCAACATTTTTGGATAGCACTTGCAAGAGCTTTAGGAGAGGTTCTAGGAGATCATAATGTTCTAAAAGAGAGAAGTAGCTGTATAAATTAGACCCTCTATCTCTTAACTAGATTAAGGAAAATTAAGTGCCAGTGCCGAAATATAAACTGTAAAAAATGTGAAATATAAATAGATGAACTACTGAAAAGACTTTTGTTAAAACACATTGTATGCGTGTGCATGTTCTTTTCAGACATATGAAGATTCACGAGAAGGACCCCAGTGGTGCCACAGCTGCAGCCCCTCCGTCCCCACTGAAGCGCAGGCGGCTGGCCTCCAAGAGGAAGCTGAGTCAAGATGCTGAGTCTGAGAGAGAAGACCCCTCGCCTGCTAAAAAGGTTCTGTCTGCTCCCAGCACCAGCAAGCCTCATCACGAGACTTTTGGCAGTATTACCTCTAATCTGTATTTTCGTAGTTTGGGGACTTGGCAGAAATCCACCCTAAGCTTTTAACCTGCTTTCCCATGCCGTTTGGTGAAATATCCACAGAAAAGAGTATGAGTATGTGCTTCCTCTTTGGGGCTGCCTCCCGCAGCCCAGTGATGAAGTGAAGAGCTTTTTAAAATTTTCCATGCTTCTTAAATTGCTTCTCTGACTAGAATGTAAGCTTCATAAGAGTTAGGAACTCTTGTTCTCACTTTTGTGTCCCCAGTTCAGGGCACATAGTAAAAACATCAGCTGCCATTTAGTCGGCACTGACCCTTGGCCACCCCTTGTGTGGCAGAGTAGAACTGTGTTCCATGGGGTAGGGTTTTCAGTGGCTAATTTTTCAAAAGTAGACCACCAGACCCTTCTTCTAGGAGCCTCTGTGTAGACTCGAACCACCAGCCTTTCAGTTTCCAGCTGAGCACATTAGCCGTTCGCACAGCACATAGTAGGTGCTCCTTAAATCTTTGCTGAGTGGCTGAGGGGGGTGAAGGGTGGATGGACGATCGTGTTCAGTGAGTATTATGTGAATGAGTGACTGCTCTGTAACATTCTTAACACCTAGGGGTGAGAAGCACCGCTTTCCTTCCTGGCAGTGTCTGGACTTTGTGTTGGCCTGTCTTCTGAAGCCAACCCATATGGGAGGCCTCCCTGTGACTTTCTTTTTTCCTTTTCCCTAAGATGGTAGAAGATGGGCAGTCGGGTGACCTGGAAAAGAAGACTGATGAAGTTTTTCACTGCCCAGTGTGTTTCAAAGAGTTTGTTTGCAAGTATGGGCTGGAGACCCACATGGAGACCCATTCAGATAACCCCCTAAGGTAGGAGAATTCCTGCTGCTTCTGGCTTGTGTGATATTCTTATTTTCCATTTCTACAAACTGGGTTTAAATGATCTAACTTGTATATGATGACATTAATCAGTTACTCTCGAGTCGATTCTGACTCATGGTGATCCCATGTGTGTCAAAGTAGAACTGTGCTCCACTGGATTTTCAATGGCTGGTTTTTTGAGAAGTAGATTGCCAGGCCTTTCTTCCAAGGAGCCTCTGAGTGGACTCGAACCACCAGCCTTTCAGTTAGCAGCCAAACGCATTAATCATTTGCACTACCCAGGGACTCCTGCAGTGGGGCATGGTGGTTCAGTGGTAGAATGTTCACCTTCCATGTGGGAGACTTGAGTTCGATTCCTGGCCGGTGCATCTCATGTGCAGCTGCTACCTGTCTGTCAGTGAAGGCTTGCATGGTGCTGATGCTGAACAGATTTCATCAGAGCTTCCAGACTAAGACAGACTAGGAAGAAAGTCCTAATGATCTACTTCTAAAAATGAGCCAGTGAAAACCCTGAGGATCACAGTGGTTCAATCTGCAGCCAATCCTGTGGATGGCGCAGGACCGGGCATGATTTCATTCTGTAGTGCCACACGCTGGGGGCTGCCTCGACGGCAGCTGACAACACCAGCAATGTAAACTTAATAAGAGAGGAAGGTCTCTTTCTGACCGGGGACCCAATAAATGTCCTAGAGCAAATGGGAGAAAAATGTAGAACAAAACTCAAATTCCTAAAAAAAAAGGCCAGACTTACTGGACCAGTAGAGACTAGATGAACCCCTCAGACGGTTGCCCTAAGATACTGTTTCAACTTGGAACGCAGACCACTCCCAGAGGCCATCTTTAGCCAAATGACAGATTGGCCCATGAAATAAATAATATCACTCGTGAGTACTGTGCTCCTCAAAGTAATCATCTGGATGAAACCAAATGGTTAACATTTACCTTAGACCAAAGATGAGAAGGCAAGGGGGGATGGGGAAGCTAGATTAATGGAAACAGAACAACCAAAGTGTAAATAACGAGAGCGCTGATACATTGTGAAGAATGTAACCCATGTCACTGAGCAGTATGTATAGACATTGTTAAATGAGAACCTAATTTCCTATGTAAACTTTCACCAAAAACACAATAAAATATTTTTTAAAAAAGCAAATGTACATTTATATATTTTAAGTTAAAATAAAAAATTTAAACCAAAAAAAAGAGAGAGAGGAAGGTCCTGTTTAAGCCAAACAATGACTTTAGTGAGGCATTAAGGATAGTGTATGGTGGGGGCTGGAAAGTGTCAGAGAGGGTGGCAGTGGCCCCAGGGCATTGTCACCAGGGTCTGCTCTGCTTGCTCTGCCCCATGAGGTACCTGGATAAATCACCGGTGGGCCCCGCATGCTGCGGGTCCCCATCACAAGCTGCTTTCGAATAGCAGCCACGTTTGCTTCCCATAGCTGTGCATGAGGATGTGGTAGGGGCAGGTGGAAGCTGTGTCACACACCAGGCACAGTGCTAGCATGTCATCAGTGCTCATGAGTGTTTGGACCGAGCTGGACTGGTAGCACAGAGACCTCAGAACACATACATGGCGGGATGAGAGAGAGTTCTTAGGGTGAAGTCCATCGGTCTCAGCACAGCGGTGATAGCTGGTTGGTCCACCGCTCCAGGTTCAGTTTCGGGTCTGTGCTGGCTCCAGCAGCTGACCCAGCCTCACTGGGCAGAAGACGCAGGTGCTGATACTATTTTCCAGCCCAATTTAGGGGAATCTCATCTTTATTTCTCTACCTTCTCCGATAACTTTTTCATCAGGCGAAAAGTTCTGTGTTCTTAATGAACAGATAGGTTCGGAGCCTTTTCTTATGAAATTGCTACTTGTTAAAAGTGTTCCTACCATAGTTTCTAAGCATTGAGAAGAACAAAGGGTGTGCCTTTGCTGCAGTTGAGAGACTTCCAAGTAGCATACCCTGAAAATCAGAGCTTAAAGTCCATTAAAGAGCAGAGGTGAGTGTATATATATAGTTGTAGCTTTGTGTTTTAGAAGACAGCTTGGGAGTGTAAGAATTTGGGCATCTGTTGGTGTGACTCACCAGATTTCATTCCTGAGGACACGTGGTTAGTTGTAACTTAGGCGTGAGAAGGTCTGAGCAAACTAAAGACTTTTTTGTTGGGGGGCAGCGGAGAGGAGAGCCTAATTGTATAGTAACTTAAAATCATGTCAAATATCATTATCCTTAATCATGTTAGCTTGACATTCTTCCATTAGGGGGAAAAGTAATTTATGAAGCGTTTAAACCACTGAGCAATTGAAGTGCTATAAAATATCTTTATGTAACTCCTCAGTCTTAGGAAATTGTACCATGTGCTGGAGTGGGCATGGGCTAGATGCCAGGACACCAGGGTCCTAATAGTTCTCTAGGCAGAGGACCTGAGCAGAGGTGACGTTTCCAGATGAGCCATGGGCAGAGGCAGGAACAGCCCATGGGACCCCGACTCCTTTCCTAACAGCCCCCTCACCCAGAATTGCCCCCTCACCTGTTGTCTCTGTCCTCCACCGTGTATTTTGTTTCATTTGATACTTTATTTTGTGATCAGATACCATCCTAGGAACAACCCACTTGCCCCCTTCTAAAGACTTCTTTTTTTATAGGAAAAACCTAGTTGTCATGAGTGATTTCTCGGCAGCTCCAGCCTGCAGAGCCCAGTGCATGTAATAGTTGATAGGAGAAGTGTGGCCTCCGTAATGCTGGTTTGGACAAGGGTGTGGTTTCTCCTGGGCATTCTGGACCGGAGCCCTGCTCCAGGGAAAGGTGGAGTCCCTGGGTGATGCAGTTAAGTGCTCAGCTACTAACTGAAAGGTTGGCAGTTGGAGCCCACCCAGAGGTTCCTTGGAAGAGAAGCCTGGCCATCTACTTGTGAAAAATCTGTGGAGCACAGGTCACCTGTGACACACATGGAAACACCATGATTCAGAGTCTGCTGCAGGGCAATTCTAGGGAAAGGCAGGGGTTTCCTGCCTTGAGAGGAGGAAGGTAGGAATGCATGTGGACACTTTCTCCTGTTCGCACACAGGATAGCCACGGTGGATGAGTAATTCGCCGCAGTGGGGTTGTGATGTTGGACCTCAAGCTCTGTCTGTCCTGCTAACAGGGTGGAGCATTGTTCTTACCTAGTCAATAATAACACCCTTTGTTTGGTCAGGGATGAATGGAGAAGTTTTGTAGCCTTTCTGGGATCCGACCCCTCTGGGCAGCCTTTCACTGCTTGATCTCCCTGGATGCCCCTGAATGCCTGGCAGTGCCACGTATACAAGCAGGTCACCTCACGTTTGGGATGAGATGGGAGGCCGTCCATCCTGTAGTAACTGTCGTTGGGTTGGGTGGGGCTTAGGTCTGGAACCAAAAGGCGCTGATTACAGAACATAGTTAATTCCTCTTTCCCCTAACTGCCCACATAATACCCTGCTATAAGACGACGCCTTTGGGGCAGGCAGGAGCCAGGAGGGCCTCACCAGGCAGTGAACTGTGACAGGAGCTAGTGGGGAGAGAGAGACTGCTAACCCAGAGCTAAAATAGGCACCAACTCCATTTTCAAACCCCAGAAGGCAGCAGAACCACAGAGATGCTACCAGCTGAGACAGAAAGTTTATAACTCAAAACAGCTGTTGGCTTCTCACTCTCCACCCCTCACCCCCTCCCCAAGCTGGCAAGGTGCCTGTTGTGCCTTCGTAAAAGCATTGGGAATCCAAACTTGTCAAAATACTGAATCGATTTTCCTCCACTTCCGTGTTTCAAATGAACCAAGTGTTGGTGTAGAAACTGAAAGGGAGTCACGGAGCCACTTGTGGCGATTCTGGCTCTCCGTGTCGGTTATGGCTGGCGCCCTGCCATGACCAGCAATAAATCCTCACTCTGTCCAGCACCCCCAGCAGAGAGAAGAGAAGGCAGCGAGGGGAGAGACCAGAGCTTGCTGGGAGCTGGCATTTGGAATCTGAGGCTAGCGGACAGAGTGTTCAGGGAGTGAGTGGATGGAAAGAGGACACCCCTTGTGTGAGGATGCTGCATGGTATTGGATATCTTGCTCAGTTATAAGAATAGAACAGAGTGACAGGTTGTAGCCTCTGTGAAAAAGTGAGATGGGAGGGAAGTCTAGGTCAGCGCTGCCCAATGGAAGTAGGATGTGAGCCACATGTGTCATTTTCAAAAGTAAAAAGAAACAGGTGACATTAATAATATTTTATTGACTCTACCAGTATACCCCCAAATGGAATATCAACATATCAATATAAAAATTACTAATGATATATTTTACATTCTTGTACTAAGTGTGAAATCCGGACTGTATAATTGCAGCACGTCTTAATTCAAACCAGTCACATTGTAAGTGCTCGCAACCACCTGGTGCTGGCCTAGGACAAGCCGGCCCGTGGCTGGGAGAGCACAGCTGTGAAGCAGCAGGTGCCTGGCCTCCTGTTGGAAGGACTTGCCTCGAGCTCACCCGGGGGTGCGTCAGAAGATGGCCTGGGGGTGTACCTCTGAGGTCTCCCTGTGTCTATATGGCTGCCGCTGAGGGTGACATTTCGCAAAAGTAAATAAAGTAAAAGTACATTTTGCAAAATTAAAGTCAATTTTGGTATAATTTTAGATGGCTTCTTGATTAAAGGAGATCAGGTAAATAAATAATTTTTAAAATTATTTCAGTCAAGATGTATTGAGTGCTTATTGTGTGTCAGGCACTTTACCAAACTTGAGAACAGCAGAACAGCGTTCAAGACAGGGCTCCCTCAGGGAGCTACAGGCTAGTCAGAAAACAAGTAAATGTGTGCTAATAAAACAGAGGGAAAGGGGTAAATTCAGGGCGAGAGGGCACCCCTTTGCCCTCTTGTCCAAGGAGAGAGAGCCTGCATCTGGTTGGGGTAAAGCTTCTCTTTGAGTGTGTTGCCTCAGACGGTGTGGTGCTTCCCTTGGCTTCCTCTGAATTGAGGCCTTCCTCAGATTCTTGAT